CTGAAAACATCTTTTACAAGTTGTCTAGATCTTTCACCAGAACAATTTCCATCTATCTTTTCCTCTTCAAATAGAGCGCTAACAAACAGCAAATTCATAGAACAATGATTCTCAGACTGAATTCATAGATTCTGGAGGGGTAAGGAAAGATATCCATCAAAGTTTTACCATGATTCTATCCTTTCTCTACAATAACTTTTAAATGTTACATTATCAGTTTAATGATCACTTTCTTCTTTTCTTTCTTTTTCTTTTTAGGTTTCTGCCATCAGGTGTGTGTGCTTGCCAGAGAAAGAAAGAGACAGTGAGAGTGAAAGTGAAAATTCACCCCACAGGGCCCAAGGGAAATGGCCACACCACAATTCCTTCTCCTCCGTCCTCCTCTTCGGATTTTGGGCATGCACACACACACACCTAGCGTTGATTCTCAAGCCTCCAAGTCTAGGACTCAAACCACAGTCGGTCATGTGGAACTCCAGCACCTTAACCATTATGCCACCTGCTGACCCCAATGTTAACCTTTATAGAAGGTTACAGAAACATATTCCAAACCACCTGGGTGATAATATTAAAATCAAGCACCACTACAATTTCAGTGCCCATGCGTGTATTCATAATTATGCTGGTCCCAAGCAATCACCCCAAATAAGAACATTTAATATAATGCAGTGTTCTCAAACTTCAGTCCTAAATTGAAAGATTCTCCAGTTTGAAGAAGCATAGCTACAGACCATTCATTCTTAAATATATATTGAAAACATACAAACATAATGGATGAGAAGCAATACAACAGAAACAGAAACAAGAAATTAAAAACATCCCAGATTTTAGTAGGGAGAAGAGAAAGTAATAAAAGGAATTTCCCTAAAGTACTAGGCAAGATCTGAAAATACTGTGTAAATGATGGGGGCCATAAACAAAACTAAGGGAGAAATTAAGCCATCAAAAAGAGAAGAAAATGAGGTAAAAAGGTCCACATCCTCCTAGACTAGAACATGGGGGGAAAAATGAAAATAAGGTTATCAGAACTGGGCTCTATATATCTGCTGGTATTATCATCCTAAGAGTGAATGCTGGCTACTCATACTGTGAGAAAAGGGAAATTGGTAGAAAAAAAATAGTGTATGTTACATGATTATTACATTTAAGTAAAATGTCTAGGTTGTGGGTAATTCTAAAAGCATCTAAATATGGAAAGCTAATGGATTATGAAGCTCAGAGACTTTTTATGGGTAGTGAAATGAAATGATTTAAAATTTAGGCAAGGTTTTGTAGAGAAAGAAAGCCTAGAAGTATTATTGAAATAGTCATCTATCAACTATCAGGCTAAATAACAGTAAAGATACCATATATTGAATATAACTTAGAAAAGAAACAAAGAAGTCTTAAGAACAGTTAAAAAGAATGCAGGGGGTATGTGCACAACCTACCTAACAGGAACTAAGTGATTAGTTAGAAGTCTGTATTTGATAGAGGACTTTGAAGAACCACTGAAAGAATAAATATCTGCATGAAAAATAACTTCATTATCAGATTATTCTGTGGTAACCCCCAAAAAACAAAAACCAGAGTCTAGCCAAATGCCATCACACTGTTACCATAGAGGAAAGATCACTGTGACAGTTAAAAAAATGATGTAATCCTATCTTTTAATTAGAGTTTTTAGAAAGTCATCAGAAGTCTAAAATATAATCAAAACCATAAATCTGATTATTTCAAGAAGGGAAAACAAATTAATACCACAGACCCAGGAGCTGCCAATAGTCTTTAAACCTGAATTTATATGTAGACAGATTAATTCTACATCAACTATTTAGTTCTAAGAACTAAATTTATGCCAACTTATGCTACTTCAGACAGAATAAGAGCTAATTATGGAAAAGTTAATAAGACTGTGTGATGCTGGCAACAAAATGACATTTCACCCTATTTCAATCCACACCGAAGAAAGAATTAAATATCATCTCCTCCTAATGTGCCTTCCACAAATAAACAGGTCTAATTTATGATATAATGTGAAGCCAAGAGAAAGCATCTCTCCCCACCAGCAGTCTAAATTGCTTTCTTGGGTTTGAGTTTCCTTACAACCCCCAAAAGAGAATATAAATTAGAGGACTACATGATTTAGACTCAATTCTCAGGTCTGCGGTCTTCAAACTGTATGTACAACTCTGGAGTGAACATCATGTCCCAGATTTGATGACACAGGATTAAAAAAATGATACAGCTATCTGGTGTTGTCAATTTACACGCCAATTTGGGAGGGAAAGACCTTAAACATAAAATGGAAATACGATGTAAAATACAAACTTTTCCATGACTTTCTAAAATAAAATAGAAAATTATAAGGATACCCTATGATTATGAATGAGCTGCTTTGAACTCCACCTATGAGAAGGGAAGGCAACTCTGCTATCACAAAGGCAATGTTTAAGGAACATCTCTTCTGTTCCTTTCAACACTCCAACATTCATGAACCGAGCCATGTGAAATTTCCTTGTTTTCATATGTAACCGTTCTAAATTCCATTCTATCACCATTCTAGTCCAAGATCTCAAAAATCTAGGGTGAGTACCAAATTTGAACTGAGTACAAAAACTTGTCTCTAATGTTACAGACTTGCTACATGCCATTTTAAATTATGCTGGTAGATTAACCTTCATACACTCTCAACGATGAATTGAACAAAGACTGTGAGTAAAAACAGCTATTGAGTATCTACTACAGATCACATACTTCATTTAATCTGCTACAGCCCACTACTTCATTTAACCATCAAAATTCTATACAGTAGATCTAACTTACAGAGAAAACTATGACTCAAATTATTAAAAAAGCCAAAAGGCAGAGTTAGGACTTTAGCTCTTGGCTGACTCAAAAGAGAGTAAATTACGTTATTTACTGAGAAGCCACTCTAAGTCACTATATTGAACATTACGGAGAAGACATTTTCAATGTTATGCTCGCAATCTTTAAAGACTTCCCACTGCCCATAAAATAGCCCAAACAAAAAAAAAAGAAACACAACAGCTCCAAAGATCTTCTATAATTCTCAGCATTGAAAACTGTGGTGTAGTCAAGTAGTTATTCACTGTTGCCTAAATGTAACATTCTCATTCAACTCTAGTTCAAACAGTTTAAATCAGCCTAAGAATAATTCCCTCACTTTCACTTAGAGAACTGACCTCTCCTTCAACTCAAGTCATATCCTTCAAAAAAAAAAACTTCTCTATTTAGGTTCATAATGACAACCTCCTAATAAAAATCAGTTAAAATCAGTGTAAGATGACAGATATGATCCACGTTAATAGTGTAAGGTCTCTGGGAACAAAACTATACTACCTTAATTTCTTTGTCTCTTAGACAGACATATATGGGCAGTTACCCAACTCTCAGTCTAAGGTTCTTTCCACTATCCCACGGAGACATACTTTAACTGGACTTGTATTTCAAAACAATTAAAGAGTAGGCACATGACTTATCACTTTGCTTATACTCAGCTGGCTCCCTTTCCACATGCAGCTGCTCTAAATTTTTACTCTTCTCCTTCAAAGCACTACTTAAAGACATCCCACATCACTATCACCAAAGACCAAGATTCCTGAGAACACAGAAGCCATCAGGTGTGAATTCCTCCAGCATTCCTCCCCCCGTCACTTAGAAATGAACATGCTCCTTCACTATCCCAGCTTCAGTTCTTCCTGTCTAAGTGTGTCCCTATGCCTCTACCCAAGTTAATTTCTCTACCATGTTCTTTATCCTAATCTCCATAGTTTAAACTCTCAGTTTGTTATTTGTTTTCTCTTACCTTCTGATTCTCTTTATGGCTCATTCCCCTCAAACAACAAACATGCTTATTCCTCCCATCATTTACTCTCAAGCGGCTACTGAACTATGTATCAGGCATTGTTCTGTGTAAGCTCTGCCCTCACAGAGCGTAATTAATATGCCAGTACGTGAAGCTGACAGTAAACAAGAAATCATTTAAATGTTGCTTTCTGACAAAGTGCCTTAAAGAAAACAGGGTGATTTAGCTGAGGTGTACTTAGAAGAGAACGAGGAAGTGAATCTGCTGAGAGTGGTTGTTTTGAGGTCCTCTGAGGGAGATAGCACTTAGGTGGTCAAGGAGTCAGCTATATGAAGGCTTAAGCAAAAGCAATTTAAGACAGAGAATAAGAAATATGCATAGGCCCCAGGGAATCACCTTGGTGTGCTTAATAAAAAGGACCTTGTGGTAGGAACAAAGTGAGCCTCAAGAGGCAACAGGACAAAAATAAAGTCTGAGTGATAGACAGAGACTAAATATTCTAGGTCATGGGGAATGGTATGGATTTTATCTGACCAATGACAAGAGGATCTTAAAAAGGGTCTTATCAAACATTCAGGACTATGCCTTTCAGTCAACGTAATTAGTGTTTCTATAGCTTGAAATTATTGCTAAGTACTCTCTAATCTATTTGCTTAAAGTTAGAAACATTTGGGACCAACAGATGGTATAATGGTTATGTCACTGGACTTCCACATAGTTGACTGCAGTTCAAGTCCTGAACCAGAGACTTAAAACTCAGGCCAGGCACATGTGCATGCATGGCTGCCCAAAATCCTGAGAATGGAGGAGAAGGGATTGTAGCATGGCCACGGGGGAAAGGGGGAAGGCAGCAGATTTCTCACTCACTTTCTGTCTCTGTGTCTCTCTGGCAAGAGAGATTTTTACCCCACAGCAAAAATCTCTCTCTTTAGAAAAAAATTAGAAATGTTTAATGGAAAAACTTGTGTCAAGATCTGTATTTAATGCTATGCCAAACGTACACTGGCTTTAAACAACGGTTAATATTTAAAAAGGCAAAGGAAAAGAAGGGTTAAAAACTCAATAAACCACACTTACCTGTTGATTTATTTTTATTCACTAAGATAAGTTTAGAAACCACAATCATAATTTTATGTTACTCTTTCTCTCTTTCCCATGTTTTTTAATTTCTACAGGAAAAATTCAAACTCACCTCGACAAGCTTCTTCGAAATCCTGGGTTATGTCCACCCAGTTTGTATTGCCTTTTTCCATTTTTTCTGGTATACTGAGCTCCCATCCTGAATCATCATCATCTACAGAAGCTTTCATAACCATTATGCCTGTAAAATTAACACTGATGTAAGAGAAAGAATATAGGGCAAGAGTATATACAAGTTTTGGATGAAAGATTAAACTCTTAAGACTCTAAACAAGTCTGAAAAACATACTGCAAATAATTACCTTAATGCAATGAAATTTCACGTTATTTAACACTAATACTCACATATCAATAGCCTAACACCTACCAGAGCACAATAAAGAGTTTGCCTACCCACTATTTAAGTAAAATCATAAATCACAGCACTACTGCCCCTAAAAGAACCAACTCCAGGGCTTCCAACTTTCAACACTGGCCCCAAATGACCAAAGCACTACCCAGGGTCCCTCTCGCAGCCCAGGACCCACGAGGCAACTTCTCAGGTCAGACTAGCCCTTCACCTGGCCAGAGCTCGCTGGGCCAACCTCCCCAGGGTCGAGGACCCGAGCACAGCCTGGCCCAGGCACAAAGGGTGCAGGCGCACACTGCAGGCTCCCAGGCGCCGGGCCCGGGTCGGGGGCACACCTGAGTCACGGACCCGCTCCAGTCCGCGCCGCCTGGGGTAGTCCGGCCCCACAGGACGAGAAAGCAAGGACAGGGCTGTCGCCTCGCGGAGAACGGGCACGAGCGGCACCGGTCGTCGCCCGGTAACACCGGGCAAGGCAGGGGCCTCGGCCGGCCCGGCGCACGGAGGAGCCTGGAGCTCGTACCTCAGGCGCGGCGGGAGGGCCGGGGCCGCAGTGTGACCTGGAGTCCCCAGGGTCCGCCACACGCGAGAGGGGCTGCGGCTGGCGGGCGCCGGGGCG